CCCCTATCCATTCTGCTCTCTCAGTTCATCCCAAGTCAGGCTTTTGGATTTATTTATCGAGTCCTGTGTAGCCCAAGCTGATCTCAAACTCCCTAAGTAGCAGAGGAAAACCTTGAATCCCTGATCCTTCTGCCTCCACTTCCCACAGGCAGCCACTGCCATTACCCCATTTATGTGATGGTGCAGATGGCATCCAGGGCTTCCTGTTAGCCAAGTGCTCTACCTACAGAGCGACAGGCCTCTAACCAGTTCTTTATAAAGACTTTGAAAACATACCCCTTCTTTCCAAAGCCTCCATGTGGACTTACCCTCCAGCCCAGGTCTACTTAGAGATTCCAGAGACTCAGCCTGTGAACATCAACGTGAGCCTCACCTTCTACATCTGCAGTCTTACCAGAGTTTTGTGCTAAGTTTCTACTAGTGGAAACCTGTTTCAACTACACATCAAGGATATATATCCTTCTGGAAGCTGGGAAGATGGCTCAGTCAGTACAGCACCACTGTGAGGGCACGAGGACCCGAGTTCAGATCCATAGTCTCATGTACAGCAGCCTGGCAATGGTGGCTGGTGGCACCTGCAATCTCAGAGATGGACAGATCCCCACAGCCAAACTGATAAGTTTCATTAAATATCATACGTTATGTGTGTATATGTATATACACATGTATGTATGTATGCACATATATATGCATATACATATATGACTGACAAAAGTAAGAGCGATGGCTTAGCGGTACAGTGTTTGAGGAGCAGAGTTTGGATCCCCAGCACTCACACAAAAGCCAGGCACTGAGGCACTCCTGGGAGTAGGGGTCGGGGTCGGGGCAGGAGGATCTCAGTGGCTTGCTGGCCAGCCAGTTAAGCAAATCAGTAAGCTAAAGATTCAGTAAGGGACCCTATTTCAAAAATATATGTGGTAGAGTGATTGAGGAAGACTGGTTGGTATGGGTCTCTGGGCTGCACGCACATAAGCCAGAAGAGGGCATCTGATCCATAGACTAGACAGCAAATTATAGAACAAAGGCCATCAGTCATCCAAACTTCAGTCTTGCCCCTCAGGTCAGGTAGTTGGCATTGTCTCTTGGCATCCCAGTCTCCTTAATTAACGTCTCTCAGTGTGTAGCAAGAGAAAGATTCATACCCAGGCCTTGCATTTCTCTTGTGTCCTGGAGTGGACATCTAGTTTGAAGGTTAATTCAGAACAAGCCATTAGTAGTTTTCAAGATGTCTTCCTACCGGAAGTACTTACTGTATAGGTTATGAAGTATGTTCCTTTGGTCTACATTTGTGTACAACAAATCTTACAGAAAGATGGCTGAAGACAGGCTTGCCAGGTACAAGTTCCACTTAGAAAACGCAGTGTCTGAAACGGCTCCGAGGGTAAATATAAAGAAGGGACTTTATGAGTACTATTTACTTTAAGTACTTATAAGGCAAATTCTGTGTTTGAATTCTCCTTAAAGGCGTGGCTAGTAGTGGTAGTAGTGCCTACGTTTCCCATAGCTCCTGTGGCAGCTTCTCTTGCAATTCCTAGAGGGCTGTTCGCCCTTTGCTCTGGCCCGCGGGAAGAAAAAATGGCACTGTACCCGTCATCATTGTCTAAGTCAAATATCGTATTCTGTCCTTTATCGTTCCCCTAATCTGGCTTCTGTTCCTTCTCTCGCTGGCTTCCTGTGCCCAAATAATCTGAGAAAGGTCTTGTGGCAGCAACAACGGTTAAGCAGGAGGCTGTGTATACCGAAGCATTCTGGGAGTTGTAGTTCTGGTTTCCTTACAGGCAACGGCTTGTCTTGCCCTGCCTCCTCCCACACCAGAAGTGAGCGTCAGGTGGTGGCGAGCGCGTGGACAGGGTGAAAGCTGTGATGGCTAGTGACAGATCTATGATCACCTTACTGGTCACCTGCTGCCACCACCGCGGAGCCAATGAATTTTCTGTCGCGAGCCCAGCCGGCCGACCCGCTAACGGGCTTGCCGCTGAGAGCTCTGGGAAATGTAGTTAGGCACGGGCAAACTGCCGTTAGTTGCGAGTCTGCGGCGGGAACCGTGGCTCCGCAAGTGTTCGCGGCTCTGATCGCCTTCCACGGTGAGGATTTTCAGCAGGGAAAATCAGGACCAGACCCAGGATTGGTCGCGCAGGCCACCTCTCCAGTCCTGAAACCCTCGGTGACGTGCCTCTGGGTTAACCGTCTAGGTTCCTTCATTTTGTCCAGAATAGCAGTATGGATCCTGGTGATCCGAGCGAATCTGTTGAAGGGGCCGGATTGGAGCAATTAGATGCTGTCCGTGGGCTGGGGAGATGATTTAGGGGTAAGAGCGCTTGTGCAACTTTGAGGAACTGCTCGAATCCCCGGGAACACCTCCCTCCCCTCAAAAGGGAGCACGGACACACAACCCACTTGTGGGATCAGAGACCCTAGCGAGGATCGCTGGGGCCGCCGGCCTAGCCTACCTAGCCTCAGAGACTCTAGGGAACGGAGTTGGGAGTAATAACTTCCTCTGGCCCCTACAGTTACAGTAGCATACAAGCTTACGCACATATGTTAGCATACATACCTCATGTACAGTAGACAGTGATGGGTGTCGCCCCTGCTATAGTCCTCTATTTTTTTTTTGTTTTTTTCTCTTTGGGGGGATTTTTTTGTTTCCTGTTTTTGTTTGTTTGTTTGTTTGTTTGTTTGTGAGTTTTTTGCATCTGTATTTAGGGGGAGGGCATGTAGTGGTCAGATAAAACTTTCTGGGTTCAGAAATTGATCCTTCCCTTTTGCCATGGGGTCTTGGAGATTGAACTCAAGTGGTCAAGCTTTGCAATGATCACATTTGCCTGCTGAGCTATCTCACCTATCTTGTTTTGTTAGGTGTTTGTTTGAAACAAGGTCTATATATGTAACCCTAGGCCGTTGGAACTTGTAGTCATCCTCCTGCCTCAGCTTTTCACAGTCCTGGGATTTCAGACTTTAGGGGGTCATGATTAAAAATAAATAAATAGCCAGGCTGGTTGCACATGCCTGTGATTCCAGTGCTCACAAGGCAGAGACAGGAAGATCGAGGCTAGCCTGAGGCTAGCCTGATCTACATAGCAAGATCCAGACCAGGCAGGACTGACTACATAGTGAAACCTTGTCCGTCCCACCACCACAAAAAAAAAAAAAAAAAAAAAGGGAAGTGAAATGACTAATCCTGTGAAAGTGCTTGCTCCCAAGCCTGACAGTCTGAATTCGATCCCCAGGACCCACATAACAAAGCAGGGCATGATGAGCCACACTTGTAATCCCCGTGTCCTGCTGGGGAAGTTGGCTGCCAGCCACCCCTGTCAAATCTGGGGTCATGAATTAGGATATCAAGAGACCAGGTCTCACAAAATATAGTGGACAGTGACTTTGGAAGGTCACCTAGGGTTGACCTCTGGCCACCACATGCACCTGCGCATATATAAGCACAAGCTAGCATTTGTGTGTGGATTCTGGATCTCCAGCTCAGCCGTCTGATGGGACCACCCCAACACACCCCTCACCCCATCCCCAGACCAAATGTACTTCATTTACGTATATGCAAATGACATTTCCTTTAAAGCTTTCTAGTTTTTCAAGCTATAATATTAAATTTTGAATAATTTTAATTTAGATTTTATCTGAGAGAAAAGATTAGGAAGGATTTTTCCTTTATGTCTCTCCCCCTCCCTTTCAGTGTAGGAATTGAACCCAGGGACTTTGACGTATGGAGCAAGTGTTCTACTAAACCTACTGGAGCCCTGTCTTTGATCGTTTATATAAGGCTATAATTTTTATTATTATTTAGTAGTAGGTGTTTGTAGTATATTAACATTTCTTATCTAGCCAGAAAGCTGTTTTGTTTTGTTTTGTTGTTTGGTTGCTTTCTTTGTAGCTTTTGTTTGTGGTTTTTGCTTTGTTGAAACAAGATTTCTCTGTGTAGCCCTGGCTGTCCTAGAACTCACTCTGTAGACCAGGCTGCCCTCAAACTCAAGATCCACCTACCTATACCTTGCCAGTACGTCCTGATTAAAGTCATGCCCCACCACCACTGGGCTGCTGCTCTTGCTGAAGACCTGAGTCCACATTGGGTGACTAACAGTCACTTGTAATTCCATATCCAAGGGCTCTGGCGCCCTCTTCTGGACTCCATGGGCACCTAAACACACAAGCATATGCTCACACAAACATACACATAAAATAATGAAAAGGAAGTATTCGGTTAATCCCAGCACTTGGGAGGCAGAGGCAGGCGGATTTCTGAGTTCGAGAGTTCGAGGCTAGCCTGGTCTACAGAGTGAGTTCCAGGACAGCCAGGGCTACACAGAGAAACCCTGTCTCGAAGGAAAAAAAAAAAAAAACGAAAAGGAAGTATTCAATAAAGAAAAATACATGGCGGTCAGGGGTGGGGATGGGGAGCCCAGTGGCACACGCCTTATCCCAGAAGCAGACATGGGAAGTTGCACAAGTTCAAGATGAGCCTGACCAGGCCAGTAAGGACCATGTGGGAAGACCCTATCAGAAACACCAAAAAGAAGTTGGGCGTTGTGGTGCACACCTTTCGTCCCAGCACTCGGGAGATGGAGGCAGGCAGATCTCTGAGTTCAAACCCAGCCTGGTCTATGTTTAGGTCTAACAAGAATTTAAAAGAAGTAGGGCTGGGGACATGGTGCAGTCAGGATGTTTGCGTGGCGTACACAAAGCTCTGGTCCCATCTCCGTACCACATGGACCAGGTGAGACGGCGCCTGTCTGTGATCCCAGCATTCACAGAGTGGAGGCAAGAGGATCCGGAGTTTAAGGTCATCCTTAAACTACATCCTTGGCTACATAGTGAGTTTGAGGCCAGCCTGGGCTACATAAAACAAACCAAACCCTCTCAGGGTCATAAGCCTGAAATTAAAGGACTTGCCCAGCTAAATCATGAAAGAGGAGGAAAGATAAGAGGAAAGGAAGGAAGGGAGGGAAAAGGGCCACACATCCACCCGATGACCCTTGTTTCTTCTAGAGCTCCCGAAATCCTATCATTCCTCATGGTCTACAGTTCAGGAAGCTTCGGGAACATGTGGCACCTCTACAATGGAAACAGATCAGTCAGCATCAGCATCTTCAGATGCGTTCCTGGAACCCTGGTAAGAGCAGGACCCACGGGAGTCTGCGCCCTTTGTCCTGGGCTGAAAAGCAGTTGAACTCTCCGCCCGCTCCAAACGCTGAGCTCTGTATGGAGCCTGGTGTGGTCCTCACAAGAGGTCCTGAGGTGATCACTGGAGTATGGAGGCTCTCATGTCTGTTATCTTTATGGGACTGTGTCCCCTGTAGCCCCTGAAGTAGCTTTAGGACCAGGCTCTTCCCGGTTATCATCCAGTGGCTTCCCAGGCGACCCTCACATCATGGTGAGACTTAGAAGCAGGTTTGTGGACAGCGGTATCTCTCCTCTGCTTCACAGAGCCTGAATTCAGTGTCCAGTGAGTTCCCTGTGTGCTGCCAGCTCCTTCCTCAGGAATACACAGGAGACCCTTTACCAGGGAGAGACAGAAGACTGGAGCTAGGTGTGGGGTTTCGCAGCTGTGACCCACTTTGGGAGGCAGGTGCAAGGGCATTGGTGGGAGTCTGAGGTCAGTTTGACCTATATAGTGAAACTCTGTCTGAGACAAAACTAGTGAGAGCCTCCATAGCCACACCCTCGGGGACCAACCTGTGGTTCAGCACATAATGTAGTCAGGACTCTTCTCCAGCACTGGAGCAGCATTTGTTATACGAGTCACTGGGTGTGTGGAAACCTCCAGCTTCTCAATGAATTCAGTGTTGTTGACCAAAGCCACTCTCCACCTGCCCAGCCCAGTGATGCACAGTCACTAGTTAGAATCGTGCTCTGGCTCGCTGTGCATAGTTGGACACACTGGGGCAAGTTCTTGAGCTTCTCTGAGCCTCTGTTTCTCTGTATATGAGTATCAGATAAAATAACAGAGAAGGATTGGGGGCGTGGCTCAGTGGTAGAGCCCCTGCCTAGAATCCCCCAGTGAGGGGCTGGGGGCGTGGCTCAGTGGTAGAGCCCCTGCCTAGAATCCCCCAGGGAGGGGCTGGGGGCGTGGCTCAGTGGTAGAGCCCCTGACTAGAATCCTCCAGTGAGGGGCTGGGGGCGTGGCTCAGGGGTAGAGCCCCTGTCTAGAATCCCCCAGTGAGGAGCTGGGGGCGTGGCTCAGTGGTAGAGCCCTGCCTAGAATCCCCCAGTGAGGGGCTGGGGGCGTGGCTCAGTGGTAGAGCCCCTGCCTAGTATACACAAAGCCTTGGGTTTGATCTTGATGCTTAGATAATATATTAACTAAGTACTAGGTTTAATAGAATTTTTTAGATTACAGAGTGCTTAACACATAGAAGTTCTTTTTATAATTTACATGTGGTCTTGGTTTTTTGGGGGTTTTTGTTTTTTGTTTTTTTAAACAGGGCTTCGCTGTGTAGACTAGGTTGACCCGAAACTTGTGATTGTCTTGCCTCAGCTCCTGAAGCGTGGGGTCACAAGTGTGAGTCACATGCTTAGCGCATTCCTGTATATGATTTGTGTCCGCTCTTTGCCCAGCAGCAGTACCAAGCCCAGCTTCTCCCTCTCTCTTGCCCTTGATCTGCCTGCAGTTGACCCAGACCTCTCCACACTGTAGCCGCCAGAGTCTCCTCAGCTATGAGCAGCGCTCCACCCTGTCTCACAGTAGCAGCTGCTCCCTGACTGCCTACCAGGACTCTGCCCTTGGGAGTCACTAACCAGCACCCCATCCGGCAGCCTCCCCAGCGCGTGCCAGCTACACCTCTCACTGGGCAGCCAGCAGAGCTCAAGTTCTTCCTCCCAAACCCCTCACACCTCCCTCACCTCAGACCTCTCCTCCTTCCTCATCCCCTATCCCCCTTCCCCGCCCCCACCGGGTATGTGAAACCATCCCATCGTTGGTGAGCTTCCCCATGAATTTAAAATCAACTGAGCCTAGAAAAGAAAACGAAAATAAGTTGTAATCTCCCTAAGAGTGTCATGGTTTATAACCTGCTTTTAACCCTCAACCGGGTGTGCCCCAGTGTTTTCCTGTAACTTGGGAGACTGAGGCATGAGGATCTGGAGTTGGGGGGTGGGGAGGAAGAGGGCCTGGAACAATAACTCAGTGGTTAAGAGTTCTTATCGTGCAGTCATGAGGACCCGAGTTCAGAGCCCAGAACCTACACAACAAGCCAAGTATCACTCATGCCTGCAACCCTAGCTACAAGGAAAGGATCAGAGACAGGGGGACTGCTGGGACTTGTCGGCTCTCAGCCTAGCTGAGCCTCAGACCCTGCCTCTACACAGACACCCAGACACAGATGCACACAAATAATTAAAAAATATATATTCTCTTTCTAAAAAGGCATGGTGGGTTGTGCCTTTAATCTCAGCACTCAGAGAGAGGCAGAGGCAGGCAGATCTCTGGGAGTTCAAGGCAAGCCTGGTCTACCTAGAGTGGTCCAGGCCAGCCAGGGCTACACAGTGATGCCTGGTTTCAGACAAAACCAAAACCAAAAGGGTGTCCATCTCTTGCTGTGACTGTGGCATGGGATGGATGGATCACTATAGCTCAGTAGGTAGTGCTTATCTAGCCTGTGTGAATCCCAGGGCTCCATCCTGGGTAGGACATAAATGGGCTGTGGTTGTACACACCTGCAGTCCTAGTGTCAGCAGTGGAGGAGGCTGGGCATGATGGTGCATCTGGGAGACAGAGGCAGGTGGATCTCTTGAGTTTGAGGCCAGCCTGGGCTATAGGAGACCTTGTCTTAAACAAACAAACAAACAAAGACCCTGATCCCGTAAGGTTATACCCACTTAGACCTCATTGCTATACTGTGTGCAACAGGTGCTCTGGGTCTAGGAGGGAAAGGCCTATTCAGGGACCTCTTTGTTGAGGTAACGGGATCACATGTGAATCTTCTGCTTTTAAGAGCTTACCTCGCCTTGGCAGCTGTCTGAAAGTTAACCCTGTGAAGGGCCCTCAAGCAGACCCTCTGCAGAAGTCTTGTGGTGTCCCTGCAGCCTGTTCATCCGCCTTCCGTCGGCCTCGGGATCTCCTGGAGGGAAAACTAGCTCCAAGCAGGAAAGAAGAAGGGAGAACTCTGAAGGGCATGACAGCGACCCAGCTTACAGTCCAGGTAAGTCCCTTGAGTCCCTTGTTCCAGTCAGAAGACCCATTGTGTGACACGTGTGCCTACTGCATTACAGGGTCTGAGGGAGGGGTTCTGTGGGGCACAGGAAGGGGTCTGTTGGATGACTTGGCTGCCACCAGACAGGAGAGGATGGCTTTACCTCTCAACGGTGCTGTTCCTTTATTGCCTGGAAGAGAAAGCACTGAGCTATGAGTGTGAATTACTTCCTTCATCCCCACAGCCAAAATCCCTGACAGGGCTGGTAGGATGGCTCAGTGATTAAGAGCACTTGCAGCTCTTGCAGAGGACCCAAGTTTGGGTCCCAGCACCCACACTGGATAGTTCATAACCACCTATAACTCCAGCTCCAAAGGATCTGACACCCTTTTCTCAACTTTGAGGTCACCTGCACACACGGTGGCATACATACATAAACATACACACAGAGACAGGGAGAGGGAGAGGGAGGGAGAAGAGAGAGAGAGAGAGAGAGAGAGAGAGAGAGAGAGAGAGAGAGTTTATAAATATACTATCTGACAGAAAGCAACTAAAGAAATGAAGCGTTTCTCTAGGCTTGTGGTTAGAACAGGAGTTCTCAATGTGTGGGCCACCACCCCCTCGGGCCAGATGACCCTTTCACAGGGGTCACCTAAGACCATCAAGAAACACAGGTATTTAAGTTACGGTTCATAACAGTAGCAAAATTACAGTTATGAAGTAGCAATGAAAATAACTTTACGGTCCAGGATGAGTCAGCACACCACAAGGTATTGCATGAAAGGTCGCAGCCTTAGGAAGGTTGAGAACCTCTGGTTTAGAGGGTTTGGTCCGTCATACCAGGGAGCGCATACCAGAACTCAACAGCGGCAGGAGGATGTGACAAGGACTTCTCACATAGTAGTAGATAAGGAAGAGACAGAATAGACTGGGACCAGACCTGAGGAGAAACCTCGAAGGCCTGCCCTGAGTAACCTACTTCCACAGACCAGGCCCCTCCAACTAAAATCTCCACAGCCTTCAATCTAGCACCGTGAGGTGCTGGAGAGACGGTCTGGCAGTGAAGAGCGCTTCCTGCTCTTGCAGAGAACCCAAATGTGGATCCTAGCACCCACCTTGGGCAGCTCACGGCCACTCTGATGCCCTCTTCTGACTTTCTCAAACACCAGCACTCATGTGTCCTGCCTACCCACACACATAGCACATGAAAATAGATCTAAAAACAGCGCAGCACGGGCCAGGGACTCATCGTTCAGAATGTGAGGGCATCTCAGATTCAAACAGTCATCCCACAGATTGTGGGAAGTCTTTCTCCCTGACCGCTGTCTGACCCGGCAGAAAAGCCCAATGAGGAGTAACCCACAGGTACTATGCACGCAGACACCCCATGTTCGTGGTCAGTCACTGGAACACCCCATTTGGAGTCTGCAGGCAATTCCAAGCTCAGCATTGGCTTGCCTGGAAGCTGCACCTATTCCACAGGGATCTTTCAGAAAGAGACTATAAAAAGACCATAGCCAGGGCTGGATGCTGAGGGCTGGGTGTGGTGGTGCGTTCCTGCAGTCCTAGCACTTAGGAGACAGAGGAAGGGAGATTTCTGTGAGTTCAAGGCCAGCCTGATCTTCATAGTGAGTTCTAGGCCACCCAGAGTGGCATAGGGTGACCATGTTTCAAAGAAAGTGGAGGAGAAAGAGCAAGAAGAGGAGGACGATGAGGAGAGAGTGGGGGATTGATTGCTGGAAGCCAGGCGTGGTGGCACACAGTTGTAATCACTGAACTCAGGCAGCTAAAGTAGGAGGACCACAAGTTCGAGGCCTTCCTGGGCCAAATGATAAGATGAGAAGCCAAAGATTCCCCCAAGGGCTCAGCTGCATGGAAGATGCCACAGACCAGAGACCTCAGATGACAGGGCTCCAAGCATCAGAAGTCCCTGTCCCTTGCCCCTTGTACTGTACCTGGCCCTGTGTCACTGCTGGTCCACCCTGATGGAAAATTGACCCAAGCCGTCTGATCCAAGAAGACACCCTTTGAACCTAGCTGATATGCTGTTAGGAGCCAGCAAGGGTTAGGCACTGACGCCTGCCCTTGGCTCCAGGTTCCCGAAGGCCTGACGAGGCTCTGACTCACCTTCGTAATCCAGACTTGAGTCTCAGTGTACAGCTGAGCTTGGACAAGCTTGTTTTGATTTAGCCCTTGTTTATGTGGTTTTATATGTATCTCTCTCTCTCTCTCTCTCTCTTTCTGTCTCTCTCTTTCTTTCTTTCACACACACACACACACACACACCACACACCACACACCATACACACACACACACACATTTTTTTTTTTTTTGGTTTTTCGAGAAAGAGTTTCCCTGTGTAGTTCTCTCTGAACTCACTCTGTAGCCCAGGCTAGCCTCAAACTCAGAAGTCCGCCTGCCTCTGCCTCCCAAGTGCTGGGATTAAAGGCATGTGCCACCACTGCCCAGCACACACACACATTTTTGCAACAGTACTTTTTGCTTTTTTTTCCTGCGGGGACAGGGTTTTTTCTCTGTAGCACTAGCTGTCCTGGAACTCACAGAGACCCGCCTGCCTCTGCCTCCAAGTACTGGGTTTAAAGCCTGTGCCACCACTGCCCGGCTGCAACAGCACCTAGTTTATAGTTTACATAATCTTCCCTGTAACTTTGTAGGAAAGGCAGCCCCTCCCCCTTGGCAGGTGGGTGAGCTGAAGGGACCCAAGAGACTAACCAGAGAGGACCAGTAGGCGATCGTTAGTCTGGATTCCCAGCCTCTGTGTAGCTTTGTGACCAGCCTGGTGTGAAGGGAAGCTTGAAGGCACCTGAATGGTGGCTCTCATTGCAGCAGCCTGGCTCCCTCCTAGGTACACCCTTGGGCCACTGATCTATTGCTTCTTATCTTTGTGTGTTTGGGAGGGTGTGTGTGTGTGTGTGTGTGTGTGTGTGTGTGTGTGTGTGTGTGTGTGTGTAGGCTTGCACGTGCCAGCTTTTGTGAGTTGGCTACTGTGGGTCCTGGGATCAAACTCAGGTTGTCAGACTTTTTGCAGCAAGTGCCTTTGCTCACTGACTGAGCCATCTCGCTGGACCATATTTGTTCTTTTTCACTTTTGTATTCCTTTTTCCCTGTAATGAACAAAAGCTAAAATATTAGTGTGAGAAAACTTTAGATGGCTATTGTAGAATCATGTGTGACATATGAATATCTGAGGAACACCTGCTGACTAGATGAGCGTGCATATGTGTGTGTGTTTATATATTTTCCCTGTTGATCACCCGTAAAAGAGGATTTGCAGGACATCAGAGCCTTACAACCCTGGCATGGGGTTCCTAGAAAAGACCCCTTGCCTGTGTTTATGAGCAAGCTCCGGCTTGCTCTTTTTGCAATACCACTTTCAACCACAAGAGGGAGATATTTGTCCATGAATGTCCCTCACAAAGCCTGCTTTAAACAGCAGCCGTGGCACCAGCTTTCCTGCCCTTCTGAGCCTCCTCCAGGGGACAGAAACCAGTAAGTGTTTTATCCAGGTCACCCTGAGCCACTCCCAGCTCAGCCTGCTCTCTGTACCTATAAGAAACCACCTAGAAAGTTGGGTACGAAGATTCATGCTGTGAGATAGGCAGGTAGAGCTGAGTTTGCAGCAATTCTATCTGCATAGTGAGTTCCAGGACAGCCAGACAGGGCACAGAGTGAAACCCTGGGGAGAGGGGAGGGGGAGGGAGGGAGGGAGAGGGAGGGGGGAAGAGGTCTTCTTGGAGACTGGGTTGATAGCTCCTTTGGTAAAGTGTTTTGCCTTATAAGATTGGATCCCCAAACCATCTAAAAAGCCAGCCTGGTGGCCTCATGCTGGTGATGCCAGCAACGGAGAGGTAGGGCAGGAGGAGCTCTGAGGCTCACTGGCCACCCAACCTAGCCTAATGCTTAGCCACTGCCTTAAAAGAGACAAGATTGGGGTTTAGTGGTTAAGAGGACCCTGGTTCAATTCCCAGCACCCACATGGCAGCTCATAACTGTTTGTAACTCCAGTTCCAGGGGCTCTGCTATCTTCACAGAAACATACAAGCAGGAGAAACACCAATGCACATTAAAGGAGTAACTAAATGTGTGTGTGTGTGTGTGTGTGTGTGTGTGTGTGTGTTAGAGACAGTGACAGATAACGGGAGAGACGGGGGCAGGGGGGAAGGAAGGGGATGGTACCTGAGAAACAAGGTTGTCCATGCACACACAGACACACAGACACACACAAACCTTGGTTCACAAGGAAGAAGAGAACTCACTCGTTTACTCTGACGCTGCCTACATTTGACAGATCTTCCTTCAGTGTGCAGCCTTGGGCTTTAAAAGGAAAGAAAAGATAACAGAGCCACTCAGTCTGCTCCCCTTGACCTAACACCCTCTACGACCTCCCCACTTCTCCTAAGGATTGAGTCTGAACACCCTAGCAGGGTCCCGAGGCCGTGCACACCCTGACCCCTCCTCAGCCTTGAGCTTGCAGTTCTCTGGGCTTCCCGGCATGCACCACCACACCCGCTTTCCTCAGTACTTCCTGGCAGCCTTAGGCTTCCTTTAGCCGCCTCCACGCTTGTCTAGGAACATCAGCTCTCGACGTGCTCTTTCTAGAAGGTTCTTCCCTGCCTTTCAGCAGAGAATACCTTCCCAAAAGTCTCTGTGGCTTCCATCTGTCAGATGATGTCATTCTCCCCTGAGCTCCCCTGGGGCCCAGCACTTGCACTTTCAAAACACTCAACAGGGCAGACTGCCTGCCTTCTAGAATGGGAGCCCCAGGAGAGCCTGGGTCAGGCTTGTCTGTTCACTTCCCCAGGGCTGCGGTGCCTGGTTCCCCCATGAGGCTCAGGAGAGGTGTGCTAAGTGGGTACGTGTTCATTTCAGCCTTGAACTTGCCATTCGCATGGCTTTCCAGTGCCCCCAGAGTCTCTAGAAACAAACCCCAAGTAGCAGTTTTACCGGTTCTGCCCCTGGTCCCTTGTGATTGAGAGACCGTGTGGTTTAGTCTAAGGTAGGGACAGTGTCAGGAGCGTCCTCTCACAAGCTCTGCATGTACAGCTTCCTTTCTTTTGCTTGGTTTTCGTGTCTTTATTTTTGCCTGCTTTCTTGTGTGTGTGTGTGTGTGTTTTTTTAAATAGGGCCTCATATAACCCATGCTAGCCTCAAACTCAGACATAGCTGATGCTGGCTTTGACCCTTGATCCTCCTCCTCCCCATACCCTCCTAAATGCGAGGATTACAGTCTTGAGCCACCACATTTGACTGTACAGCTCAGGCTGGCCTGGAACTAAGATCCTCCTGCCTCAGCCTCCACAGGTGCTGGGACTACAGGCCTGCACCACCACACCCAGTTTTATTTCCTTTATGTAGAGAGTCCGGGGCGGAGCTTCCAGAGCTGCTAAGAGAAACCAAGTGCAGCCTGGCCGGCAGGTGCCAGCCACCAGGTCCGACTTCTTCTGGCAGTTCTCTCTTCTAAACCCTTTTCTGAAACCTTTGGACACAGGTACCCCCTAGAACCCCAAGTCCACCTGGTGTCCTGAAGATATTTACAAGTGAACCCACCACAGCAGTGGCTTCTGGGACACACTGGTGGCCGGGCCTTCCTGCCTATTGCAGGCAAGCAGAGCACCTGGAGATGAGGCATTAGGAGCCCTCACAAGAACAAGGCAAGGAACTAAAGAAAGGACCCAGAGCTGAGCGGTGGTGGCACACACCTTTAACCCCAGCACACGGGAGGCAGAGGCAGGCTCTCAGATCTCTGAATTCAAGGATAATCTGGTCTATGGGTCAAGATCCAGGACAGCTAGGGCTACATGGAGAAACCCTGTCTCAAAAAACCACCAAAAGGCTCCAGATTTTACTGGGTAATAAAGAGGAGAGAGAGGCTATGAAGAAAGCATGTAGCCCGAGGGAGAAGGAAGCTTCAGGAAGCCCAGAGCCTAGATTCTCCTCTTATGTACAGGGTTGGAGACTTAGTGGACCCCAAGGGTCACCTGTGCAGGACTGTGTATCATCTGGAGCTCTCTGTCTGAAAGGCACCAGTATCTCTTAAACCTAGCCTTTCTGTTTCCACTCCCCGCCCCCACCCTCCCTCCCTGCCCGCCCGCCTCCCTCCCTGGGTCCCATGTTACCCAGGCTGTCTTCATTTAATATAGAGTCCCAGATGACCTTGAAGTCCCAGTCTCTCAGTCTCTACCTCCCAATGCTGAGATCACAGGAATGCATCCCTGTGCCAGGTTTATGTGATGCTATGGATGGAACCCAGGAACCCTGGAACCCAGGAACCCGGATCCTGAGCCTCACGGGGGAACCAGGCGCCGCGGCCCTGGGGAAGTGAACAGACAAGCCTGACCCAGGCTCTCCTGGGGCTCCCATTCTAGAAGGCAGGCAGTCTGCCCTGTTGAGTGTTTTGAAAGTGGAAGTGCTGGGCCCCAGGGGAGCTCAGGGGAGAATGACATCATCTGACAGATGGAAGCCACAGAGACTTCTGGGAAGGTATTCTCTGCTGAAAGGCAGGGAAGAACCTTCCAGAAAGTGCATTGCTAGCTTGAGGCTAGCATGGGTTCTGTGAGGGTTAGCTCACAGAGTGACAAATTAGTAGGTTAGACAAGTGCTCTTTCTACTAACCCAACTACTTTCCCAGTTTTGAGGCAGGGTGTCTGTGTAGCCCAGGCTTGGCCCAAACTCTTTCTTTATAGTAATTAGTTTATTTATTTACTTATACTACTTTTTTATTACAGCTATTTATTTGGGGGTAGGGCACATCCTACTGTATGGGTGTAGAGGTCAGAGGTCATCTTGACTCAGGTCATTTGTGGTGGCAAGCGCCTTTACACACTGAGCCACCATCAGCCTCACTCAAAGTCATGACCCTTCTGCCTCAGTCTCCCAAGTGCTGGGATTGTAGGCCTACACTGTCACGCCTGGCCCTCCGTGTCTTGTCTGCTGCTGCTCTGATCATGGGGCCATCAAGACTACCTTCTAAGTCTGTCTCCCCGTCATGTAGTTCTCCTGTGTGAGCACTTAGGTCATCAGCGCTCCAGGTCTCCATCACTGTCCAGGGGCGTGGGGGTGCTTCTTTGGTATCTGTCTTGTGAGAAAGAAGCGCCCCCGGAGCTTCGTCACCCGTGACGAGCATCCACCCTCGATCCAGCTGGAACCGTCAGCTGATGAATAAGACTTGATTTGTCCCCTGAACCATTACCACCCCCAATTCATTCCATTCAAAGGCTTTCACTGCAAATGGCTCATCTGACGCCCGGCTGCAGCGGGGGCCCCCTCGGAACTCCGCTTCACACGTGGAAGATGTGCGTTCTCTCCCAGGATGCTCTCTGGGGTGACGGGCTCTGACGTGGGTTCAGGCCTATTTGCGTGCTGTATCCGCCCTGTGATTTTTCTCCTCTCCATGGCTCCCCCCGAAGAGCTTCCCCCCTCCCTGCATTCATTGGAAGTCTCTCCAGTATGAATTATGGAGTGAATGGAAATTTTCCCTTATTCATAGTATACAAAGATTCCCACTGCTGGGCAAATTTGTTGGTTTTCTGCTGAATCCCGTCCAAATGTCTGGGCAGAGCATGGCGGAGCGTGAGGACGAGGCTGAGTCCTCCTTTGCTTCCTGCCGCTGTCATAAATGCCATGACCAAAGGCAACTGGGAGGGCAGTCACTCAATGCAGGCACCTGGAGGCCAGCGCTGACACGTAGACCTTGCGGCTTGCTTCCCTTGGTTTGTTGAGCTATCTTTCTTATACAGCCCAGCACCACCTATATAACCCAGACTGGTCTCAAACTCCCCTGCTTCAGCCTACCGCTTGCTGGGATTACAGGCAGATACCTCTCAGTCTATGTTGCCAACCTTCCCAAAGTCTACCTCTTCCCAAAAGCCCTCCAGGATTCTGTGAGCCTGTGCATTGACACGTTTCTGTGAGGATTTGATGTCTACAAAAGTTCTCTTCATCTATCATCTATTTATACCTTTTTCATTCTTCTCTGACAGACAATATTTGAAGGAGAGCCACGTCTTATCATTTGAATTCTCCGTGGAGCCTTCCAAGTGCCAAAACACTGAGGACAGGACTGCGCCTTGGTAACTGTGTGTCACTATGGACTCTGTGGTACAGGGAGATGGCTCTGGCCATTTGCCTTTGAAGGTGAAGTTCTCCTTTTCCAGATGGTTTTCACACAGGGCGGTAGGGGATTTCTTATTGTTTCCTCTTCCACCCTATCCCCGACCCTCGTCACCAGGCAGCCCCGCCATATTAGCTCAGAAGATCCATAAAGGGGCAAGAGCCCCTGTTCCCTCCCCTCTGCTCGCAGGGGTTATTAGTTCAATAGAGTCGAGCTAGGACATAGGGGTGACCTTGGGAAGGGGCACTTGGTGACTAAGCAAGAATGGGCACCGGAGTTTCTACTCACCACACCCAGCTTGCAGGGGAGGCTGGCTCACAAACCACCCTCAGGGTGACCTTGGAGGTCTGCAGACTCAGTTCTCATGGCGTCTAGACCCATACCTGTCAAGGAAACAGTAACTTCCAAACTTAATGGACGGTTTATGGAGGTAACATATAGACATGAAGGAGAACACTGAGCTGTCCCCCAAGGGGGAACCCCAGGCAAAGGTCCCATCCCTTCCTTTCTGCATACAGCTGAGTTCTGGGTCCCACCAAGGACAGAACTCCCCTTCCTTGTTGGCTATGAAAATTTCTTATCTCTTGTATAAAGGGAGGGGTGATGGCAAATGTCTCTAAATCCTAAGTTCCCCTATGACCACAGTCCCCTTCCAACCTTCTTCTAAAGCACGTCTGTTAAGGGATGGAGATGTCGCTCAATTGGTAAGGTGCTTGCCTAGCATGCACGGAGAGCCCAGGGTTCCCTTCTGCGATGCTTCAGAAAAACAGGTGTGGTGGTGCATCCTTGTAATCCCAGGACTTGGGAAACACGTGGGCAGGCCACATCTGAGTCCGTGGTAGCCAGTGTGTCCACTCTGGCCCTGGAAATGTGGTGCTAGAATTATAATATGTGCTGAATTTCTGTAGAAGTGTCCCGAGTTGCACCTATAATGACTGTCCCAAGCCACATTCAACAAGAGATGGCACAAACGGGTAGAAGAGACAGAAGTTGAGAAAGTGCAGGCTCTTGAAGAACCAAAGACCTAGGATGAAAAGTAATCCTACATCCATTGTAAAGGGGGCGCTAGGCCTCTAGGAGCCCACTCAAGACATTAATATAGAAAGGTATAAAGACACCCCCTTGCTGATCTTGGCAGCACGCACCTGTAATCCTAGCACTTAGGAGATAGAGGTGAGGCAGGGCACTCAAGAGTTCAAAGTCATCCTTGGCTACAAAGTGCGTTTGAGGCTAGCCTGGACAACATACTTGATATCCTTTCTCAAAACAACCAAAAAAAAAAAAAAAAAACCCTGTTTAAACCCCATGCTGTGTTTCTCACTGCCCTACTCCCTACTTCTGAGGTTACCAGCAGGGCTCCCGGCTGTTCCTTTGAGCCAGCTGTGTCTTCATTGAGGTCCCTGACTGTCCTTCTGTCATCCCCGTCTGTCTGAGAGACTCTCCTACCTGATTTGGAAGTGCTTTCAGTAACTTGTGGGTCCCAGGCAGTGCTCTCATTGAATCTTCTCAACAAGCTTTGGAATAAGTCTTTTGTGGGCCTCCTGTTACAACTGAGGGGAATAGATGTGGAGAGAGAACGTTGCTCAGCAACTTCTGAGTCGAGGAACGAGAACTAAACCATCTCTGGAACCGTGACGTCAGAAGTCCTGGTGTTGGGTTGCGGAAGTTTCACTTCCATTTGCTGGGATAAAGCAGCCCCCTTGCTGGACTCTGTGGCCTTTTGGAAATGGTACTGCTTCCACAATCTCTTCTTCAGCTTGCCCAAACCTATCTAATGCTTTACAGGAACATATGTGCCCATGAGAGACGTGAGCTTCCTACCAGCAGACACTAGCATATCTGCTGTGGGAATTGAGGAGATTCTTGAGTTGGGGTAGGTTCAAGAGCCTCTGGTTATACCATCAACTCTGCAAGTCGGGGATTGTTATGGTTTATTTCTGCTCCACTACGTCTGGGACCTCCACTAGACTGGCTGGAAACAGTGGACATGGTCCGAATAGGGCTTTATGTCTGGAGCCTTCGTTCTGTCTGCCAGCTGGGTTCCTCTTCTCCCTGTGATGTCATCTGGGGCTCAGATGTCTGAAGTGGCTCTGGCACGCAGGTCCCTAGTACCTCTACCTTCTTTTATGTGTCCACTCTCTTCAGAAGAGTAGCTTCATCCTACACTGTCTGGGCTGTCAGAGCACACACTATCTATATCCTTTTCCACTGCAATCCGCTTTGCCTAGTCTACTTCTAGCCAGTGCTACCTAGACGGCAGTGCCATATACTGCACGATTCGGCTTCTGTGTGTGCATACTGTTCTCTGAACCTGAATCTAATACAGACTGGCCAGACTCAAAAATGGAAGGAAATCCAATCAGGCCAGTTAGTTTCTCCTCCTGCCACCCTACCCCACTTGAACTCTGAACCTAAGTCAGACCGACTGAGAGTATGTAACATGGTGAGTAGTAGGGCTTTGATGGTCTAATGTTCTGACCAAAATCACAGTGAAGGAGAAAGCTAGTGAGAAAGTTATGATACGGAGAAAATCCACTTACTGTGGAAGAAGAGAAAGTAAACCTTTCTTTGGAACATAGGAAAAGAAGAGACTGCTTAGAGTAAGGTCATGCTCCTGAGCTACCCTCCGGCCCTGGAGCTGTAGCCAGCCCGTCTTCACAGCGATGCCGTGTGGATCACTGTACCAAGCTTGTGTTTTTTGCTTTTGCTGTTGATTGACGTAGTCGTGGTCATGTGATTCAATTCTGCTAATACACTTATGGACAGATGTTTGGGGTCACCTTGAGTCCATGAGGCAACAAGACCAAGAGGAGAGAGACAGCCAGCTGGGGATGACAGGACAGGCGATGAGCAAAAGGGGCCTGGGGCCCCCAGTGGCATCATTGAGTCACAGTGCCTACCCTGGAACCGTCTCCTTCCAGCCTGACTGCTGTAGGAGCCTACTGTCTCCTGGGTCCCATCCTTCTCTTGAGGCCTGAAACATTTCTAAGCTCTTCATAAAATGTCCCTGCCTTCACTGCTACGCTGTGGGTGCTGTAGGTCTTTCTTATGGCTCTAAATGAAGAAAATACCCAGGTTGCTTTTCTTCCTAAGTGCTAGCGACAGGAATCCTGCTGAGATGGTAGGAAATGGACAGGAGGAACAACAAAGAGGCAGGTTCATCCCGGCCGAAAGGATAACCCCAGTGATTGGCCCCCAACGCTCCTCAGAGCCAGCGGACACAGACCCGGAAAGAGAAATAATTCTGGAAATGTCCACATGCCCAAGTCTTCTCAGACAGAGCTGAGGAATAACTTTTAGAAAAAACATTGCTGGGGGCAGGGGGGAAGTATTAATGCCTAAGAACCAGAGCCCGAAGAGTGAGTGAGAAGGCAGGTTAGGCAGGGCATGGGTAAATTCTTAGACAGTGACTATGGCTGGCTGTTGGGGACAATGAATTGGAGCAATTTGTTGCAGCAGGAGCCAGCAGGTGCAAAGGTGTCGCCCTCAGGAGACAGCCTTGGTGTTGTTTGAAAATGGCCCTCTTGGGAGGAGGGCAGTGCTAAATGGTACTTGCTGGCCTTCTCTGTGCTCCATGGGCCGGCTTCCTTCCTTACCTCCCCTCCCCCCTACCCACGTTCCTTTCTCGCAGCACCTTGTGGGACGAGCTTGAGGCTGGGGACCGGACGGGATGGGACTCAGTTGGCAGAGTGCTTGCCTAGCAGGCATGAAGCCCTGGCTTAGAGTCCCAGCACCGCATGAACTAGGTATGGTGGAGCGCACTTGTAATCAGTCCTACCCTTGGGAAGTGGGGGTCGGAAGTAAATCCAAGATCTTCAGAGAGGCTGAACTCAAGCCCTGGCTCTTCCTCTTGGAAACTCTTGTTTTCTAAATTTAAAAAAAAAAAAAAAAAAAAAAAAGCCAGGCTTCTCCTGGTGCCCCAAGTGAGGCTGACGAAAGCTCATTACACTCAGTATAAGCAAACTAGAAAAAGCTGCCCTCCCTTCTGGTGTGTCTCAGGATAACCAACCGCAGGACCCCACGACAGATGTGCTAAGTCTGAGAAGCTGTGACACAGATTCTGACGCCAGCCCTCAGTACATCCCTGGTGCTCCCCACGTGGTGTGTGCAGCTCGGTCCCGAATGCCAAGGCTGATAGTTCACCGGCAAAGTGAGTCTCAGGTTGTAACGAGAGCGAGGGAGAGAGATGTGACCCCAGAGAGAAACAAAATAATTCATGGGGATGAAATCTGGGCTTGGGGGCAAAAAGGAAACGTTTAAATCTGTACCTTGTGAAAGAAGAACACCCCACCCCCACTCCACCACCACCAAATTGTGTATGTAAGGTACTGTAGATTGAACTCTGGACCTCACACGTTCTGGAAAGTGCTCTCCCACTGAGCCATTCCCCAAGCCCCTCACTGGGGAATTGTAGTCAGGCACTCTACTGCTGAGGAATGTCCCCAGCTCTCCTTTGACTTGATTTTTGAGACAAGGTCTTACTGGATTGCCTAGGCTGGCCTGAATCTCACTCTGTAGCCCAGGCTGGCCTTGGACTCATATTCTTCCTCCTGCTTAGGCTGCCGAGCCACTGAGATCATAGACTTGCCTCGTTATACCAAGCTACTGCTAGTGCTAATACCTTTAAACCACTCTTCCCTGAGCCCAGAAAGCTTCCCTAGAGAGATCATAACTTAGTATTCTCTTAAAACCAAAGAAGAGAACAGCAGCTTTTCCCTGTTCCTCCACATGAGGGCGCTACACCACTCAGCCATGGGGTGATGTGTTGAAGCCTCTCCCACAACAACCTTTACGGGTGCATTTCTTTTCTGTGTGCTCTCTGATGAGAAGCCCTGGGCCACCTCTGCATGGTTTTTCTTGCCAGTTTCTCTTATAGCTCTCTCTCGGAGCACACAGCCACATTCAGCACCCCGCCCACTTGGGCATTGCCATGGCTGTTCCTTGTGACTGATTTAGCGGCCAGATGACTTAGCTGATACCGGCTGCAGTGAATGAGCTGATACTGTCTGTAGGTTAGGATTCTGACCAAAGGGTCTTCGAGGCACTAGAGAAAGGGTTTTATTGACACACCTTCACAAGCGTAGGCTTTCCTCCAGTGTGAATTCTCTGACGTTGAATGAGTTTTGTGATCCTGCAAGCCCTCACGCGGTCACTATTGTTGGTAGATTTCTGTTGCACGGGAAGTAGCCGGGTGTGTGGGACGCTGGCCGACGCCTCCCGCGCCCAAGCTGAATGGTGCAGCAGTGTTAGGAGGTCGGGAGCCTCTAGGAAACTGCTTTGTAGTCACAACAGTCGATGGTGCTCCTGCTGGTACAGTGCTGTAGTGTCAAATAAACTTAATCCGGACTCAGCCACACTTACTTTTGTGTGTGTGTGTGTGTGTGTGTGTGTGTGTGTTTGTTTGTTTGTTTTTGAGACAGGGATTTTCTATGTAGCTCCAGCTGTCCTGGAACTCGCTCTGCAGGCCTGGCTGGCCTCGAATTCACAAAGATCCACTTGCCTCTGCCTCTCAAGTGCCACTGTGGGGATTAAAGACTAGTGCCACCACCACCCCCTGGCAAGAAATATTTATTCCTTCAAATTATCTATTTGGCCTGTTTCTAACCAGTACACACATTGTAATGTTGAATAAATTTGATCCAGACTCAAGATGTAGGCCATACTTATTTTTAAAAAAATATATTTGGCCTTTTATGGAGGGTTGTGTGGGTACATGTTTGTACATGAATGTGTGTATAAGTCGGTCATAAGTCAACCTTGGGCGTTGTTCCTCCACCACTGTCCACATTGTTTCTTGAGTTATGGTTTCTCTCCGGTCTAGAGCTCACCAAGCAGGCCAGGCTGGATGGTCGAGGCAGCCCCAGGGACCTGCCTGCCTCCGCTTGACATACAAGTTCATGTCACCACACCCAGGAATTTCACCTGAGTTCTAAGGATCAGACCAAGGTCCTCGTGCTTGCACGAGCATTTCACCAACTGAGCATCAGTGGCTGCCCTTGAACTTGATCCTCCTGCCTCAAGCTCCTTTGTGCTGTGACAGCTATGTGCTGCCGTGCCCAGCCTTCCCTGTGCATGCTCACATCCCTTCACACTCTATTTTGATTAATTTAAAATTTATTCAGCTTTATTAAAAAACTTGCCTAGAATCCCCCAGTGAGGGGCTGGGGGCGTGGCTCAGTGGTAGAGCCCCTGTCTAGAATCCTCCAGTGAGGGGCTGGGGGCGTGGCTCAGTCGTAGAGCCCCTGTCTAGAATCCCCCAGGGAGGGGCTGGGGGCGTGGCTCAGTGGTAGAGCCCCTGCCTAGAATCCCCCAGTGAGGGGCTGGGGGCGTGGCTCAGTGGTAGAGTATCTGCCTGTAATCCTCCAGTGAGGGGCTAGGGGCGCGGCTCAGTGGTAGAGCCCCTGCCTAGAATCCCCCAGTGAGGGATGGGGGCGTGGCTCAGTCGTAGAGCCCCTGCTTAGTATATAGAAGACTCTGGGTTGGATCCAAGTAGAATAAATGCCAGCTCTTCCCCTTTCTCCAATGATTATCCAATTGTTTCAGCGCCATCTAATGAGTACCTCTTTCCCAGCTATTTTGAAATTCTGCCTTCATTGTTAAATTCCTGTTCAAGTTGGCTACTTCCCTTGAATCTGTTTGAACCTACTCCAATACCTAATTATTTTACTGTGTAATTTGCTTTGGTATCTGATACAATTGATCCCCCCTTACTGTTTCAAAAGTCACACAATGAAAACCAGGCAGCTAAGTTAGAGTGAATGAGAGTCATTGCTCCAAGGCTGAAAAACAGCAAGCTGACCAGTTGTCCACAGAGACAAGATACTAGAATTATTTTTGTTTTGCTTTGTTTTTTTTGTTTTTTGAGACAGAGTTTCTCTGTGTAGCTCTGGCTGTCCTGGAACTCACTCTGTAGTCCAGGCTAGCCTTGAACTCAGAAATCCACCTGCCTCTGCCTCCCAAGTGCTGGGATTAAAGGCGTGCGCCGCCACCACCCGGCAAGATACTAGATTTTAAAACAGGGTGAAACATAATATAATTAAAACAACAAAAACAAAAAACAAAAGCCATATGTGATGGCTCACACCTTTAACCCCAGTACTTGGGAGGCAGAGGCAGGTGGATCTCTAATTTTGAAGCCAGCCTGGTCTGCAAAGCGAGTTCCAGGACAGCCAGAACTACACAGAGAATCCTTGTCTCAAAAAAATGAAATATTAATAACTAAACAAACATTAATGTGTTTGCCATGTCAGGAGCTGCGTCAGATGCCACAGTATAGACAAGAGTCTGACCATCTTTTCATTTAAGCTGTGGTTCTTTTACCCACAGTGTATTCCTGGAACCATTTTGTTGAAAGAAAGGAAGGAAGGAAGGAAGGAAGGAAGGAAGGAAGGAAGGAAGGAAG